ATATGCCAAACACACCTTACACGCAGCCTGACTTTGAAGCTGAGTACGCATGTTCAGGTCTCCAATTCGATGAGTATATGCATGATTCCCCAAGGTAGAACATGTTAAAAACACCTTACACACAGCCGAGTTAATCTCTTCCTCCTATTAATAAATACGGGTCCCCCCCGGCCAATTAGTAAAAAATCCTCCCCCAAAAATATTTTTTTTTTTTTTTTTAAATTGGGGCTTCGGGAATTGTTTTTTTGCTTTTTGAAAAATGTGAGGGTTCACATAGGATTTGGAGGAAATGGATTGAATTGTAAGGTCCGCGAGTAAGCGGTTTAATAAGGACATTTTATGTATCATTCTATTTGTTTTTCAGTTTACTGGTTGTTTGTTTGCAGCCAGGCAGGTTAATTAATTAGCCAGCATGTACGGGAGAGAGACAGTCGCAGCTAGACAGCTTTTTTGATTAATTGGGGTCATTCATTAATAGGGGGAAAGAATTATGGAGCTGAGTACGCATGTTCAGGTATATGCATGATTCCCCCAGATAGAAAAACATACTGATTTTGTAGCTGAGTACGCATGTTCAGGTCTGCAATTCGGTGAGTATATGCATGATTCCCCAAGATAGAACATGCCAGAAACACCTTACACACAGCCTGATTTTCAAGCTGAGTACGCATGCTCACGTCTGCAATTCGGTGAGTATATGCATGATTCCCCAAGAAGAATATGCCAAACACACCTTACACGCAGCATGATTTTGAAGCTGAGTACGCATGTTCATGTCTGCAATTCGGCGAGTATATTCATGATTCCGCAAGATAGAACATGCCAAGAACACTTTACACACAGCCTGATTTTGAAGCTGAGCACGCATGCTCACGTCTGCAATTCGGTGAGTATATGCATGATTCCCCAAGAAGAATATGCCAACCACACCTTACATGGAGCCTGATTTTGAAGCTGAGTACGATGTACGCATGTTCAGGTCTGCAATTTGGTGAGTATATGCATGGTTCCCCAAGATAGAAAATGCCAAAAGCACCTTACACACAGCCTGATTTTGAAGCTGAGTACGCATGTTCAGGTCTGCAATTCGGTGAGTATATGCATGATTCCCCAAGATAGAACATGCCAAAACACCTTACACACAGCTTGATTTTCAAGCTGAGTACGCATGTTCACGTCTGCAATTCGGCGAGTATATTCATGATTCCCCATGGTAGAACGTGCCAAAAACACCTTACACAGCCTGATTTTCAAGCTGAGTACGCATGTTCCGGCTTTGCAATTCGGTGAGTATATACATGATTCCCCAAGATAGAACATGCCAAAAACACCTTACACACAGCCTGATTTTCAAGCTGAGTACGCATGTTCCGGCTTTGCATTTGGTGAGTATATGCATGGTTCCCCGAGATAGAACATGCAAAGACACCATACACACAGCCTGGTGTTGAAGCTGAGTACGCATGTTCAGGTTTGCAATTCGGTGAGTATGCATGGTTCCCCAAGATAGAACATGCCAGAAACACATTACACACCGCCTCAGTTTGAAGCTGAGTACGCATGTTCCGGTCTGCAATTCGGTGAGTATATGCATGATTCCCCAAGATGGAACATGCCAAAAACACCTTACGCACAGCCTGATATTCAATCTGAGTACGCATGTTCAGGTCTGCAATTCGGTAAGTATATGCACGGTTTTTTCAAGATAAAACATGCCAAGAACACCCCTTACACGCAGCCTGAATTTGAAGCTGAGTACTCATGTTCAGGTCTGCAATTCGGTGAGTATAAGCATGATTCCCGCAGATCAAACATGCCAAACACACCATACACACCGTACGCATGTTCAGGTCCGCAATTCGGTGAGTATATGCATGATTCCCCAAGATAGAACATGCCAAAAACACCTTACACACCGCGCGATTTTGAGGCTGAGTAGCATGTTCAGGTCTGCAAATATGCATGATTCCCCAAGAATAATATGCCAACAGCACCTTACACGCAGCCTGATTTTGAAGCTGAGTACGCATGTGCAGGTCTGCAATTCAGTGAGTGTATGCATGATTCCCAAAGATAGAATATGCCAACAGCACCTTACGCACAGCCTGATTCTGAAGCTGAGTACGCATGGTTAGGTCTGCAATTCGGTGAGTATAAAGAATATGCCAAAAACACCTTACACGCAGCCGGATTTTGAAGCTGAGTACGCATGTTTAGGTCTGCAATTCGGTGAGTATACGCATGATTCCCCAAGAATTATATGCCAAACACACCTTACATGGAGCCTGATTTTGAAGCTGAGTACGATGTACGCATGTTCAGGTCTGCAATTCGGTGAGTATATGCATGATTTTTGAAGTTTGAACATGCCAACAACACCTGACACACCGCGTCATTTTGAGGCTGAGTACGCTGTTCAGGTATGCAAATATGCATGATTCCCCAAGAAGAATATGCCAACAACACCTTACACGCAGCATGTTCAGGTCTGCAATTCGGTGAGTATATACATGATTCCCCAAGATAGAACATGCCAAAAACACCTTACACACAGCCTGATTTTGAGGCTGAGTACGCATGCTCAAGTCTGCAATTCGGTGAGTATATGCATGATTCCCCAAGAATACTATGCCAAACACACCTTACACGCAGCCTGATTTTGAAGCTGAGTACGCATGTTCAGGTCTGCAATTCGGTGAGTATGCGCATGATTCCCCACGATAGAATATGCCAAACACACCTTACACACCGCCTGAGTTTGAAGCTGAGTACGCATGTTTAGGTCTGCGATTCGGTGAGTATAAAGAATATGCCAAAAACACCTTACACGCAGCCTTTTTTTTGAAGCTGAGTACGCATGTTCAGGTCTGCAATTCGGTGAGTACATGCTTGAATCCCCAAGATAGAAAATGCCAAAAACACTTCACACACAGCCTGATTTTGAAGCTGAGTACGCATGTTCATGTCTGCAATTCGGCGAGTATATTCATGATTCCCCAAGATAGAACATGCCAAGAACACCTTACACACAGCCTGATTTTGATGCTGAGTACGCATGTTCAAGTCTGCAATTCGGTGAGTATATGCATGATTCCCCAAGAATAATATGCCAAACATACCTTACACGCAGCCTGATTTTGAAGCTGAGTACGCATGTTCAGGTCTGCAATTTGGTGAGTATGCGCATGATTCCCCACGATAGAATATGCCAAACACACCTTACACACCGCCTGAGTTTGAAGCTGAGTCCCCAAGATAGAACATTCGGTGAGTATACGCATGATTCCCCAAGATAGAACATGCCAAACACTTACACGCAGCCTGAATTTGAAGCTGAGTACGCATGTTCAGGTCTGCATTTCGGTGAGTATATGCATGATTCCCCAAGATAGAACATGCTAGACACCCCTTACACGCAGCCTGATTTTCAAGCTGAGTACGCATGTTCAGGTCTGAAATTCGGTGAGTATACGCATGATTCCCCAAGATAGAACATGCCAAACACCCCTTACACGCAGCCTGAATTTGAAGCTGAGTACGCATGTTCAGGTCTGCATTTCGGTGAGTATATGCATGATTCCCCAAGATAGAACATGCTAGACACCCCTTACACGCAGCCTGATTTTCAAGCTGAGTACGCATGTTCAGGTCTGAAATTCGGTGAGTATACGCATGATTCCCCAAGATAGAACATGCCAAACACCCCTTACACGCAGCCTGAATTTGAAGCTGAGTACGCATGTTCAGGTCTGCATTTCGGTGAGTATATGCATGATTCCCCAAGATAGAACATGCTAGACACCTTACACACAGCCTGATTTTGAAGCTGAGTACGCATGTTCAGGTCTGCAATTCGGTGAGTATATGAATATGCATGATTCCCCATGGTAGAACGTGACAAAAACACCTTACACAGCCTGATTTTGAAGCTGAGTACGCATGTTCAGGTCTGCAATTCGGTGAGTATATGCATGCTTCCCCAAGATAGAACATGCCAAAAACACCATACACACAGCCCGATTTTGAAGCTGAGTACGCATGTTCAAGTCTGCAATTCGGTGAGTATATGCATGATGCCCCAAGATAGAACATGCCAAAAACACCATACACACAGCCTGATTTTGAAGCTGAGTACGCATGTTCAAGTCTGCAATTCGGCGAGTATATGCATGATTCCCCAAGAAAGAATATGGCTGATCATGAGCGTCAATGGATTAGATTGACTATTATTGGACTAGTTGCTGCTTGTCGTGGTGCTTTGTTCCTTCATCTTGCTTCACGTTGATCACCAACGCTAAGTTCAAATCTGAAATGCAAATTCCATTTTAGAATTAATGCAAACTTATTCGGAAAGGAATTCCAGTTAAACTCGGTTTTAAATGCAAATTCTAATTTAAATTCAATTAAACGGCCCAATTGGACAGGACTTCCTTTTTAAATTCAATTTTCATATCGAATTTCCAGTGAATTGTTGCTTGAAATGCTATTTGCAAAGGAATTCCCATTTAAGTTCCAGTTTAGACTTGAAATTCCAATTCTATCTTTGAGAACCCTGCCAACCGTGGCAGTTTGTTTATTCTATCTTTGACACACCTGCATATTACCATTTAAAAATCATTTTTTAGAGACAACATATATGATTACAGGTGTCAGATGTTCTATCTTAGAGGATAACAGTAGATGTTCTATCTTCCGAAAACCGTATTTTGGGAAAATCGTAGGTGTTCTATCTTTCGGAACCGGATTATAGTGTTTGGGCTGTGGTTTGACATTTCGCATTCGCTGACATGAGCCGAGCTTGCGCTAGTGGTATGGGGTACTGACTGGCCAGTATCGCATTTGCTGACGCATGTTATATCTATATATATACCTATATATATAGATGTGCGAATAACTGTGTCTCAATACATACACATGTGATGTATATATGTACACACATACACATAGCGCGGCAAAACTTGAAACCCGAACATGGCCCATGTTCCTGGCTGCAAACCAAGGCTTACAACGCCCTGCTGAAAGGCTTGGTGAGGCGCCGGAATTTCACCAGCGCCGAAGACCTGCTGGGCCGCATGGCGACCCGCCAGCTGCGGCCGAGACTCGGTTGATCGGAGAAACCCAAGCGCTGCCCCGCAGTTGTTCGCGCCTCTGACTCGTTTTTGTTGTGGTTTCCGGGTTGTGAAGGGCTGGCGCCTCTTCTTGGAGGATTGGTTTTTGTGCTGTGCAAGCAACAGTGGTAAACGCGCAACCTTGGCATTTTCTAGCGCTTGCTCAGCCCGGTGCTGAGATCGTGATGAGGGAACTCGTTTAGGCTGGGCGGTGCGGTTCTTTCCAGGCAACTTTCCAGACTGATGTGCCATTTACAGAAGTGGGACAGGCGCGGGTGACAGCACGACGCAAAACCAGTGCCACATCGCCGAACTCAGGAACGAGATTTCGTACACCACGATCCTTGGCAGCTTGGTTGAAATGGTGCAGCAACATGCTCCCTTCGATCCTTGCACGTTCATCCAATCTGAGACATTGGGGTTAGGGTGGTTGGTAGTGGTGGTAGTGGCGGTGTTTGGTGGTGGTGGTTGGTGGTGCTGGTGGTGTTTTTGAAGGGGTGCCCCGCCATACGGTTTGCCCAAATCCTCGGGACCGCAGTATTCAACCCAATTCTTCACATAGGGGTTGGAAACATGGGATGCTTAGCCATTAGCACAATGAACCCTCCTCACCTTGGCAAAGTTTTTGGTTCATGGTTGAGAAAGCTGCCTCACGCTTTGAAACCGTTGGGTTTCCGGATTGTGGCTTTTTGTCCCACATGAACATTGGTTATTGTGCTCTTCTCCCACATTGCAGCTGAATCCCTGAGGCGGTCTCGCGGAGTCTGGGCACGCGGGCCAAGTGGCCCAGTGGTTCGATCGGATGCTCCTCGGCTGGCTGTGAGCCAGGTCTCTGTGCTCCCGCCAAATGACACGAGCCCGTAGTGCGAAACTCCTATTGGAGGGCATTCCCTTTTTGGATTAAAGTCCGGCACATTTCCAGGCAGGCTTCATGGTACCTGGGCACGGTTTCATTGTTACTGGACACACCTTGAACGGCCAGCATTTCGAAACTGGAAGAGGTGATGTCTGTTGCCGATTGGGTCCTTTTGGTCCAGCTCTCCTCCACTACCAACCCAAGATTTCCGAATAGATTGGGGAGCTCCGAATTGGGCGCTCTATGCCTTGTTGGTTTGACGCGGCTGGTCAAAGCTGCAACAAATGCTCTACTATAGTAGTGAACAAAATGAATACTTGTGCATGCGACGCAAATTGGCATGGTAAAGGCACGTCAATGCACCAGCTTCCTTTTCTAGGAGGAGCTCATGTTGTGCCCTCGCAGTCTTGCGATGACCCACACGATCAAACGTTTGTTGGACGTACTTCACGTGGACACCAGCGGCCAAGGCGGGCCGCGTCGCTGACGCCCAATGCTGTGACCTACAACGCCGCCCGGATTCGGGGCCTGTGGGGATTTGAGCGGGAGGGGTGGGGGTTGGGCATGTGCTTGGAAAGGTGTGCAAGGGTGAGACAGGAAGACAGGAATGGTGCAGCTTGCGCGGGGCCGGGCCTGCCCAAGGGAGCCTCTGATGAATGCTCATTGAGTGAAACCGCAAGCACGACTTGCTCTCCCCAAGGAGTTTCTCTGAAGTAATTGCCTTCCGCCGTGTCTCTGATGTCTCTGAAAGAAGCTTGGATTGCAAGTCTTGTGTCATCGACACCAAGTTTCTTTGCTACTTAAGCTTACCACCCGGCTGGTGTGACGGGGCCCACAAGAGCACTCGCGGGTCTGGGGAGGGCTGAGGCCCTGGGCCACTTTTTCTTGTAGGGTCCACTATTAGTCACTATACCAAGTCTCTAGTAGTTCCTAGGAAGGGATTGTCATCATGTTCCACATCATGTTCCACATGCTCAAGTGTGTCTTTGGTCAGTGTTCCAGAGAACCGTCCGTGATGAACAGGCAGCTTTGACACACAGTGGGCCACTCAATTCTTGCAGACTTTGGCCTTGGCGCGTGGGGCGTCGTTGCTTTGGAGGGCTGCGCTCGTCTGCCGGAGGCTTTTTCAATCCTTGAACCACGGAGAATGGGCGTTGAGACCTTGAACAGTCCCAACTGCTCTTGGCGGTATTTGCGCTTTGGCAACAGAAGTTGGTCTCAAAATTCACCAAGGAGGGTTGCGGCCATGCTGCCACCCTCATTTACCTGGGGGGGGGGAACGACAGTCATGGCAGGGACTCCTTCCCCGGTGCTTTTCGAGAGATCGTGATTATGCCTCACCGTCGAAGTTCGGACGTTTGCGCATGGTCAGATCATCGGAATGTTCTTCAGGCCATCATCGGCGGTTTGGCCAAGCACAAGCTGGAGCAGGCGCGGAAGGGCTTTCATAATATGGCCATGAGTTTTCATTTGGAACCACCTCAGAGGCAGCGGCAGCATCCATCTGAAAACGCCTAGATACAGGCAGATTTCGATGCGCCATGTGCCCCAAAAGGAACCCGACGGATGTCTACCGAGTCTACCGCCACTTGTGAACCCTACATAGAATATAAGAAAGATAGGATTCAGCAGCAACATCCCCCAGGGTATGCGGGTACTTGAGCAAAGAAGGGATGAACTCACCCTTTTCGTTCGCCTCCCCCTGTGGCAGAAGTACCACCTCGAACTTCGCGTTACGCTCGTGGATGTTTGCGGGAGGGTGGCAATGGCCTTTTGAGCGAGAAAGAAAATTCCGCCGAAGTGATGAGGGTCGCTCTAAGAAAAGCAGCCACTATGCTAGATTCACTGAGCGCCCATGCCAAAAAACTCGGCTTCCCTGGATTGGTGTTCTGAGCGGGTGGTGCTGGCACTGGAACCAGGGGTAATGAGTTTTGACTATTTTCGGGGGTCTCCAGGTTTGGAAAGAATGCCATATGTTTGGATGCGCACGAATTTGGCACTTGCAAGATGCTTGCACCACCATATTTGCTACTCGCACGATGCTGGCTTCACCATAAGAACTGCTCCCCAAAAAGCTGGAGTGGGAAGACCCGTGTTTGATAGTGTGGGGATTTGAAGAGAAGTCACCATACAAATATTTTCTTGTTTTTTGTTTGTTTAATTTGAAATACCCACGTTGAGCGGCTTGTGCGAGCTGTCGTAGCCACTGCCAACTGCGAGCCCTGACTTTGCCACATATCGAGCTCCTGTGTCCTGTGGGATCCCTTGACTCAGTTTGAGCAAGATGCCCTTCCGGTCCGGAATTCTAAAGAAGCAAACGAATTTCTTGGTGGTTTTTGAGCAAGCACACACACACACACACACCGATGGAGGTGGACTTCCGGGACTTCTCTGGTTGCTATGTCCCCTTACAACGAGGCTACATGGGTAGTACTGGATTGTTTCAAATTTGACATGGTGATTGGGAATCAATGTTGTGGAGTTGAGAATTGCCATCACTCCTTTGCTTGATTGATTTGCTGGCTGGCTGGCTGTCTAACGTAGAGTAACTTGTTTTGCCTTAAATTGAGTCTGACACGACGGCGCACCTGCCTGTCACAGCAATGCACACAGATTGTGTTCCTGGGTTTGACAGCTGGAAGGGAACTTTTGTGGAGTTGTTTTCTTTTGTCCAGTTGAAGCCTAACACTTTGGGCTGGAAAGAACCAAGCTGTTTTGCAGGTCATTTTGGTGATTGAATTGCCGTTATTTGTGTCAGCACCCGTACTCAGCAACATGCTGGCAACTATTCAGGCTGATACATTTGTTGGCAGAAGGGACTATTCTCTGTAAATGCGCCACACAGGGTTGAAAGCGCAACTTGAACTGCGCTTGGCAAGCCTCGAGCTTGCGGAGCCTTGCAGCTATGCTGCAAGCACTTTTCATAAGAAAAGTCAAGCACTCGACTGTAGCTCATCTAGCTGAAACGCTATCGGCCTATGCCTGACACGATGCACGCTACAGCTATCTAGGGCGGTCTCGGTTTTGGGGCAGGTTCCGGAGGTCGGCGTAGGCAAACTCGGCCGTAGGCAGAGGAGTGGCTGCAGCGCATGAAGAACAGCAGCATTGAGCCGGAGGTGCAGACCTACAACAGGTGAGCCGGGGGGTGGGGCGGGGGGTGCAAACAGATCAAGCCTTCGCCCGGTTGATGTTTTGTTTTTGGTGCTTTGTGCAAATCGGGGTAGGGTCGGACGGAATTTCCTTCGCTCGGTCGCTGAATTGGATTTGGGGCACCTCGAATCCGCAGCGCGCTCCAGGCTGCTGGCAGGCTGTGCCGAGCACAAAGACTTGCCTCGAGCTGAAGCATGGCTCGGGGCTCGGTTCCGCGGTGAAGCTGGGGATTGGGGGGGACGGAGTCATCGAAGTAGAGTAATCTCCTGAGCACGCGCCAAGTTGTTGCGTAGCACATCTTTGCCCCTTCAGCCAGAGCTTGAAAGAATTTAACGCCTGGATCGCCAGTCAACAAGGCAAACTGCATGGACAGACTCTGGCCCTGGAGGTTAAATGTCATTTGGTGCTTGTATTGTCCTTATTAAGACAGGCAACCCAACAAATCCTTGTTGTATGCTTCGAGACCTTCAAACAGGGTCCCTGAAATCTTCCTTGACGTGGTCGATGATCATGCAGTTTTTGCCTTGTTGCAAGCTTGAAGCATTGGGATTCTAATATTTTTCACGTCTAGCCTGATGCACTGGCTTGAAATCCTTCCCTTTTGTTGTCATATCCCCAGAGATGGTGTGCCGGTATCTGGCAAGTGAAGTAGAGCCTTTCCAATGGCACAAAGGGCCCCCCACTTATGTTGCTTCTCTGGTCATCTCATCAAGATCCGCAGGTTTTGCACGAGGATATGTTTGTGTGACCTGGAATTAGCTGCTCATGCATTCATTGCGCTGCTGTTTCACGGACTCGGGAACGTGCAGGAGTCAACAGGAAGGGCAAACAGGCAAGGGGGGACAGCGTGTGGATATTCTTGTGCCAAGGGCTCCAACTATTGTAGTGAGGATGCATACCGTGTGGCGTTGACAGGCGGTTGGGCGAGATAAATCGATATGTGCTGCCCGTGAAAGATCCATTTTCTGCAGCAGCGCATTGGTAGCCCAGCTGGTTGATTTCCCTGCTTTCAGGCATCAAGAATTCCACTAAACAATTTGAGCTATCCGAATAGGGACACAAAACCCCGCTTGAGAGTTCTACCCTCAGTTTAACCGGGTTGTAGTGAGTGGCAGCTTTGTGACCATCTTGCTAGAACCAACACATAATCTGGTTTGGCTGCCTTGTGAATCAGGGAACCCTTAAACGGTCTACTAAACAAAAGGATCACCCAATTGAAACGCTTGTACGCCAGAGCCCCAATTCCACATTTTCAAAATCGTTTTCCGCGGTTTCAGGTTCCAGGAGATGCGGAAGGAGAAGGTACCAGACGCTGTCTCCTACAACACCATGATCAATGTCTGTGCCAAGGCCGGGGAGTGTTTCTTTGTTGTATAACCTTTGTTGGACATATTTTGCATGGCAGGATGGGGATTTTGCATGGGGATTGATGTTCACCGGTTTGTAAGAATTCCCTGTTAAAGATGACAGCCCAATGTTGGCGTGGGTGTTGGCTATGTTGCGACCATTTGCTTGAGGGCACGCTTCTTTTGGGTTTTGTGCTGTGAAATGGATCCGAAGTGTCCAAGGCACACCTAAGGATGCTTCTGCCGGAGAATGAACAATCCCAAAGAGGACATGTTTTTTTCCCAAATCAGGGATTCGGCATCAAGGAAAGTTCGCTTCGCGGTTTGCTTACTTGTGAACTTAGGGATTCCATTGTAGCAACCGAATGTCCTGGTGTTCTTCCGATGGTCCGAAGAATTCCACAGAGCTGCCCCCACCATGTCAGGACGCAAACGGATTCCCCGGCCCCGCCGGCGGTTTTGCGCAGAGGCGTCGCCAACATAATGCAGGGCATTTTGGAGGGTGTGGTCTGCCAAGGAAAAGCAAATTCTCAGGGGTTATCAATATCATGGAACATGTGTTATGTGTTGGATCTCTAAAATGCCCAGATTCACGTTTGAAACCCACTTCTCAGTAAGGCTCGTCACGTTTGTACCTCGCCACCTTTTGGCTCAGAGGCTTCGGGGGAGGCTGGTCAGCCCTTGCCCCAATGGCCGTGAGCCCTTAAGAAAGGGCCCTGCGGCGCACTTTTGCGCAGCAAAAGATGCCAAGCATGCGGCAACAACCGAAGCATGGGACGCCACTTTTCGCGCCTCCCAAAAGGGATCTGACATGCGTTTTGCGACGGCAGTTTGGCGCACCCCGTAAAGTGCAAAGCAACATACCAAATCGCATACATGCCGCACGTGGATAGGGGTTGATGGTTTCTGCCCTAAGCCATCACCTCAGCGCCATTTCCAGGCTAGAAAGAAGGATAGGAAATGTGCGGGCAAAGCGGTGACCCTCTTTGGGGACCCCCTTGAAAGGCGCACATCCGAGGCATCGTGCAAGCCCTTCACAGGTTCACTTTGCGACACTCCAATCAGCTGCACACGAGCTGCAGTGCAACAGAAGAGAGGAGCCTGCACCGGCGGCTCATGCGGCCCAGATGCGCTTCCGGCTGGCATGGCGGCCTTGGTGCATGTGAGTGGGGAGTGGATAGCCATTTAAAGCTCGTGCCAGGCTGCTTAGCATGGACCTTGCTTTTGTCAAGAGTTGTTGGCCCACTCGGTTAGTCAGGGTTCAAGTGCCGGTAAGGGGCAATGGCATCCGTAGAACCAACAGAGAGCTTGCAAAGCAAAGAGGATGCGCTTGCTTCGTCGTGATAGGGTCTGGTATGGCACGACCGCTGGACGAGGCCAGCACATATCTTGTTTTGACCTACACTCAGTTCTTTTGTTTTCTCCCTTGACCGGGGTACACGCAGAAAGCAGCAATTTTGCTGGTTCTCAGGGTTTCGACCTCAAGGCGACAGACTTCTGAAAGTCCAATGAAGATACCATTGCTTCGAGCTAAACCCACGGGTTGCAGAATCTTGCTTAACACGGAGACGTCAAGCATGGACTCCCAGGAAGGTTTTGACTCACAAAGGTCTAGCGGATGGCATCAGGCAACCAGCTGGCGGTTTCAACTTGCATGGAGAGCCAAGCCGCAAACTCGGCGAGCAGCCTGCGATTTGGCCGCAAAGCAAAGAGCACACACGCCAAGTGGAGGTTTCCCAGCACCAGCCAGACATGACATGTCAAAACCAGGCAAATATTTGGGGGTGTTGCCCCCCTCCCCCGTTCCCTATATTATGGAACGGCCCCCATCAATCAATAAGCAATGCCTATTTTTTGGCGATGTAGGCTTTGGAATGATTGTAGAATGTGCAGCTGTGGATCATTTTTTGGATGATTCTATTTTCAGGTCTTGGAAGGTTTCCCATGTTGGTCTCCAATTTTGGAAAGCCGTTTGGAAGGTGTTTGAACTCCAATTTTGCCCCGGTTTCCCATCCACTTGGGGGCAGCGAAAACAAGACCCGCGGCCGCTGAGGCCGCTGTGTTGGGCTGCCTTTGGGCAGGACCAGCGGGCAGCGCTGGGCTTTACTCACATGACGCTGGGCTACGGCTTGCTTGATATGGCACGACTCAAGGGCGGTGGGTGTAGAAAAAATAGGGTAACCCCAGAATGGGTTGCCCTGGTAAGAAGAATCCTGGCGGTCTTCCTGGATACCCAAATTTCCAAGTTTGGTTGAAAGCTCGGATGTCGAGAAAGGTTGGGGCCAAGTGACCTGTTTGACAACATCCTAACCCCGCAGATCCTTTTTGCGCTTGCCCGGTGTATCTCAGGTACACCATGGCGGGTAGCTCCGTGCCTCGGTTGGATGGCAACTGGAAAGCCGCCGCTCCCGCTTGGATGGCCTGGCGCTGGGGTTTCTGTTGGCGGGATCCATAGATGTGAAGAGTTTCTGAACGGCACCAGTTTTCAAAAGGTACAGCTGAAGCTGCAGTGGGAGGGGTGCGGGGGTGCGGGGGTGGAGTGGGGGTGGTTGGCTTGCAGTGGCCCAATGCATGCACAACGCACTTCCGAGGACGATGTTCTCCTTTGGCAGCCGCATTGCCGAAATCGCATATGTGACGAGTTCAGCGTGGGGGACGGCTACTGTCTCATGAGGCGAGTAGGGGGCTTCAGTTTTTGCCATAGGAACTTTTCTTGGTTTTGGTTCCCTTTTTGTGCCGCCTTTTTTTAGGGGTCGCAAGAGTGTTGAAACCTGGCAACGCCGCATGGTCAGCTGGGGAATGAATGTTTCAGGCCCACAGCGCGAGCAGGTTTTCTTTTGGGCTGGGCATCTTTCCGATTAAAGCCCAATGCTAACATTGGCACGCATCAAGGCCATCGCGAGCCTTGCATTCACATCTCATCCGCGAACAAACTGTTGAATCAGTTGCTAATTGCAAACGCCACACCGAGGTTTGTATTTATTTTATCTTTGATGTAAACGCGACCCTGCCGATGGCTGCTTTCAAATGTGTGCATGATTCAATAGGCAGCAAAAGCAGGGATTCGCGTTGAGACGATTGCGCCTTTGCCTTGGGCTGTGGCCTGTGAGGTTATAGATGGTAGATGTTCAGAGCAACCGCCCGCAAAACAGGTCCAAGCCGAGCCACCAGTTTAGGCAGAATATGTCAGAAAACAGTAGCACCTTTTCAAAATGATCCTGGCACGCCAAATGCATTGCGTTGCAAGCTGCTAAAGTTGGGTGGATCAGCTTGAGAAAGCTGAGGTATGAGAGGCTTATCAAAGGACCTTACCTACGCAGCAGACCTTTTCAACCTCAGCCCGGGCCTACAAAGATCAGCATGGCAGACCTTAACTCTACAGGACGGAACGCAGAGTAGGTGAACCAGAATCCCGGCGGCTTCAGGATCAACAATACAGCGATCCTGATCAAGGTGAAGCCTTGACTTTTATGGCTCTTCCTTTGGTTGAATATCAACTTGGACCCTCTAATCAGATTGCACTAGGGATCCATTGCGATGTTCAACCTTGGAAAGGGTGTGTTTGAACAAGGCCCAACATATATATCAAAATCAGAAACTGGTGTCGTTTCTCCAGCTACCACTTGGGCTGCATTGATGGCAAAAGGAGGGGCCACTTAAAGCCTAGAAGAATTGAAGCTGCAACCAATCATGCCCCTTGCCCTCTCCCAGCTTGTTTCTAAAACTGAAGCTTTGAACCTGTCCGTCCCTTCCCCCCAGCCTTGGGGACCAACGGGTCCCTTGCTTAAACCATTCGAGCCATCAATTGTTTGACACCCTCCTTTCGTTTCGGGTCGACGTGTTCGCTTCAAGCAAAAACCATCTCGCCGGTCCACTTTGGCGTTGGTGGAGGACCTCCAGCCACAGCGGCATGGATCGCCTGAAGCTGGTGGACCCCGAGGAGATAAGGCGACTGGCGGCGGGCCCACCGGCGCCTCGCAAGCGCGAAGCCGCGAAGCCTCGCGCTCCTTTTGCGTTATTCTTTGCAGAAAAAAAGGGAACAGTGGGTGTTGCAGGGTGCTTTGGTTTTGGAGGGGTTTAAAGCAACTTTGATTGGGTTTCGACATTTTCGGGGTGTTGTCTTTGTTTTGTGGCTTCTGATGCCGCTGATCTGATGCGGGGTGGGTGATGGATGGGGCTGCTAGTTTGAGATGTAGCGAAGTGGCTGCACACCAGCAGAGAACCGCACTCGCAGCTAACAGAGCGCAAAGGGTATTCTATAGTTCGTTCCTCGGATTCTCAGATGCGAACAGCGTGTCATGTCAAAATTGCCGCGCTGAAGACTCAAGACCGCACCAAAATCCAATTCAAAAGCTGCCAGCAAAGTGTCGGGGCCCTATGCTTATGGGCTCCCTGGCATTTTAACATAAGGCCTCCAAGGGCTTGCTTCGGCTTAGGTGTGGCAGGTGGCCTCGAACTGCCGCGTGCGGGGGTTGGAGGGCACCAGCAACAGGACGAGTGGGGCCCCGTCCTGTTCTTATGGCCGCCTTTAGCTTGGCCCGCGCGGAACTGGTGGCCATTTCCCCCCGTTTTGTTCGGACAAAGGATGGAATCCAAGCCCAACTTGTTCACTTTTGGTGGGATTCTCACTGAGCATGGTCAGCCCCACAAGGAAATGGGTAGGGATCCCCCAAAAGGTTGGTTTTCCTGTTGGTTTCCCTCTAAACAAACCACACAAAAAATGGGTACTGACTCCAAAAGAAGACGAGCCACCCAAATGAGGCCCTACCCTGGGATTCCGCTGAATGATTCGGAGGACCTCCTTGGAAGCGTGGCCGGTGAAGGTGCAGCTCTTGCACTGCCCCAAAACCGTGCCGCTGGCCATCCTCACGGCACCGGCCCCAGGGCTGAGGGAACTGGTGCCCTGTGTTCTCCTGCACCGGAGGTGCGGGTAAGGGACAAAAGCTGTTGCAGCCTAAGACAGACTTTGAAAAACAAGGCCTTCATGACGGAAGCATGGGAACACTTCTATCAGTCCCTCGATATTTCTCACTGAGTTTTCTGGTGGTTGGAGTCATGAAAACCACAGAAGGGCTTGAGCGCTGAGGTTTTGCCTGACAAAGTAGTGCAATGGGGGGGTGGGGGGGGAGGGGGGGAAGGGGTCGACAGTGGCTTTTCTCCACACAAGGCGCATTGGATTTGGCCGGCAAACAGGTGCAAAAAGAATTGGTTCTGTTATTTTTTCAGCAGGGGGCCTGCAAAAAGGCTTTTTGCTACCATACCCAGGGTTGCAAAGGGGGTAATGTTGGTTGATTAGCCATTCTAGTGATTCAACCTCTAGGTCCGTTTGGAGGGGCGGGGCTGATGGCTTAAATCAGCGTGCCCAGGTGCCAAAGTGTGGGACAACCTCCACCATCAATTGGGTTTTGCAAATGGAAGGCGGGGTGCGGTCGGTCGAAGACAGCCCTTTTCCATGACTTGCTTCTGGCAAAGACTGACTTATTCACCAAGATATGTACATGTGTACACGCATGATATATATATATATATACACACACATGTATACATACATGTATACAAGTGTGCATATAACAAGTACCTGCATATAGGAGTATATATATATATATATCCACATATGTGTACATGAGAAATACTTCCAAGCAGGCAAGCCGTTTAACATTCACAAACTTATCAAGGAAGTGCATAGACTGTAGGATTGGAGGTTTAAGCATGGTGTTCTGCGTCCACTCCCCATCCTAAGAACCTGTTGTTTGTTGAGGGGTGAAACTGTCAGATTCCAGGCAAAACCCTGCAATTTGAGGATCAGTCAGATTCCAGGTCAGGACTAGTTGAGGCTGCTCGAGGGTGCACCCCTGTCAGCCGACGTATGTTGTTCTGGGTTTAAAGCGCTGTGACTGATTGATTCCTCAGGCGAAGATCAGATCCGCTCTCTGTATAATGGCGGACGGCTCTTCCTGCATCGTCAAGGCAAGGCACAGGTGACAAGAAAGACACTGAACCACTTGCTGCAAAGTTCCAAGTTCTTGGCTCCATGAAAAGTCTTGTGCTTCGATTTCCTCAGACAGGCGAACAGATATGTTGCTTCCGCATAGCCGGCTGACTTGCACCTACCTCGCTAGTCTGAAGCGCCGCCTGGACGGACTGGTTGGCAAACTTGCCGTGACACAGCCCAGGGGGCGGCAAAGTTTTCGTGCATTGCAAATGCTTTCTTTTGCTGTAATTTGCTCTCGGCCCCAGGCCCTGGAGAGTTCATGAACCGCTTCGTGGTCAAGGAATTGATCCGCGCTGCCGAGCAGGGCGCGATCCCGTGCCTCGCTTAGTCTGAGCCATCCAATCCAAAGGGATAGAGGCAGGCGAGCAGGCTCTCGATGGCTGCCTTACCCACGCACAAAATATGGTTTCGGTTGAAGAAGCCCAATCTTGGTCTGCATTTGACGTCGAACGTTGATTGGAAGCTTTTACCTATCATAGTTGGACAATGTTTAGCAGAAGACGGATGGCGAGATGCCTCAAATCCTGGCAAACCATGGCAAACATATTTATATAAAGCCATGGGATTTGCGTGCCGTGGCTCGAATCTCGAAAGACGAGGAATTCCAAGCTGAGCAGCGAGGAGTTCGGAAACCAGATCATGCCACCCGGCGAATGGACTGGTCGGTTGAAGTGACATTGTAGGCGTGACGGTTCTGCCCATGTGCTTCAATCCCCGTTTTCAAAGCTAAAGATATTTCAGTGGCACGGGGCTCCAAAACTCAGAGCTGAACGCTGGCCTGTGGTTTTGAATGAGGGTCCCATGCCAGCGTGAGGATCAGTTTCTTCAAGCATCTTCATGCGAGTTTGTTTGCGCTTTTGTTTTTGAAAGTATGGGCTATCTGGAGATGTCTTGGGATGGACACAGGCCTCAAACAAGCCCCAGAATGACCTTATTTCAACGCGGCACTGCGAGATCATCAGCAAGTCAAACTAGGGTTTTTTTCCCGGCAGCAAAGCCCATGAAAACGGTGCTCTTCAGAGGCCAGAAGAAGGGCTCCGAATTGAGTTGGGCTCACCCTCGCAGGGCTTTTCCGTGCGACTCTGCTCGGCTGGCCCAGGTATCGCGCGCTCCACCGCTACAAGCCTGGCTACGCGCCTTGACCAAAGTCCCGACAGGGTCAAGCGGGACTGGACGGGTCTGGAGAGGGGCAGCACAAGCATGAGCATGTGATTTAGCATTGCGCATGTGGTATGGGGCCCCGTCATCTTACGTGTGGCACGACAGTGAAGGCCAGCCCCATCGTGTGTTGCAAGCGGAAGGTGGGGAGGAAGTTGACCCGCTGATGCCAGCATTGTTTTGCACTAGCCATGCATCAAGCGTTTGTCGCCCTTCAGCCGGAGCTCCTCCCGGAGGAGCGTTGAGCTCGTATCATCCTTTCGATCCAGGGGTGGTCAAAGTTAGAGCCTTTCCCGTCGAACCATGTTGGAGACTGGCACTTTCAGGATCGCTCAAATCCGGGGCTCCCCATAGCCAGTCTGAAGCTCTCGGCGCCAGCCGAAGGTTTCGAGCGGCGCCAGGGTGTCTAACCACGACTGTAAACGCAATGTGGAACCGTGACAACTGCAATGTGGAACGACTCAAAGTCTCAAAACAAACGACACCAATTTTGCCACCGCGAGTCACGAAATCCCCCTCTCAGACTGCGCGGGCCTGGCCGCACCCGAAAAGCATTTTTGTTGCTTCGACTAGACCCTTTCTCTGAAGCCAGAACAGAAAAGGAATCCGGATTTCGAGGTGCTTGCGGGCAATGGGGCTCCGGTTTTTGGATTCGAGGAGCCGCTTGCGCCCCAAAACCTGGATTCCCTTACTTTGGGGTTTTTTGCACCCCAGGAGCAAATTTGCTTCCCAATCCAGATCTGACCCATCTGTCCTCGTCATCCTCGGGCAGTGGAGAGTTCCACCAAGCCATGGCTCCAGCTTTCGTAAGCGCTCCATACTTCCAACTTTCCAAAACTGCACACTGTGGCCCGAAATCGGCCTGCCGCTTCCCTGAGCACTCTGTTGTGGTGCTATATGCTTGATCCGGCAAATGGCATGGCATCCCAAACATGCGTGCAGCACAGATCTCATGCGTGAACATGGTGAGCAAGTGATACGATCAGTTCTGAGTCATTGTTCTATTGCTTCTCTCGTTGTTCTTCTCTGTTTGTCGGCGTTCCACCTCCCTCTTGGCGGCGCCCGTTGGTCCAGCGCATGTTCGCCGTTTCAAGGCTTCAGTTCGCCCAAAGCTTCTCCATCACCACAGTCACTACAGCATTGCAGCGGACGGCCTGAACCGAACTGGGCTCAGAAAACATTTTGGGCAACTAAAGATACTTTTGCCCCAATCGCTGGCCCACAGCTGCAAAGATGGACGTGAAGGCTGTCACTGCTTCTCACAATTAAGCTCTCTTGGCCAGTAATTAACTGCCCTTGCGGTTGGATTTCAAAGTGACTCCATGAGGTACCATCTTGGACAGCCGGGGTTTGCAGTTCTACAAGAGGTCCCTGTTCCCCCTCAACTTGAACCAACATTTTGGGGTCGCCAACCCTGACCCCAGGTCTGTGCCATGCCTTTCCTGAGGAAACCTATGACGAAGCTGTCACGGTGGAGCGAGAGTTCCTGCCTCCTGCGCACATGTGCCCGTCGCCTGCCAGCAGATTGGTTCAAACATCTGTCAGCTTATGACCTAAAGTCCGTTCCTTTTGCGGGGTGCTCAAAGCCGAAATTCAAGGAACCCTGTTTCTGTGTCTGAGATCGGTACGTTCCCGTGTATTTGGGTTTGACCCCGAGGCTGTGCTGCATCTATGGGAGGGACCGCCAGCATGTGGTGCTGGCCAGAAATCCCTTTGTCAGGCTCGTCCTTCGCCGCAAGCTGTGACCTCTGCCGCAGTGCTTCCAGTTGCAGTTATAGTGGCAAACCTGCAAAAATGATACTTTCCCTAAAGGTTAGAACATCTGGAAAAGCAGTGGGTACCGGCAGTCTTTCCCGCTCACAGCCTTACGGAAGCTTTGGCACAAAGGCTTTGGCACACTTGGTGCACCTTCATGTGCGCAGCTGCGCCGCTTGGGTGTGGGGCTGTTGAAAGCCGAGGATGGTTCCAACTTTTGTGATAGACAGACTCATTGGGAAGGCCCTGTTGGTATCACGCACACACCCACACATATCTTTTGCCCCACGGTCAATTCAATTCCTTCGTTTCTCGCGCCTGAACTCCTCTCTCTGCCTATGGCATTTCAGCCCTGCAGGGTCATGTCCTACTACCGCTTCAGCTGGCTGAACAACCCCACCTGGGGCGCACACAGATGGAGCCATGTCTGGTGAGCGATGGGCGGCTCCCTCCGGTGTTCGATGTCGCCCGTTTATACGACCCTGGCTTTTCCACCAACCTGTCTATATTTGCTCACAACAGGGTCACTAGATTTTACTGCAAAAGTTGCAATCTACTGGAGGTTCCATCGAAAAAGGGGAATGGAGGACGCTTTGCATAAATCCAGAGATTCGAAGAGTTCTTTCCCTTGCGAAAAGCCCAGGACCAGCTGGCCAGGCTACGAGGACTACGTGCGGTTGCTTGGCTGATCTCGGGAAGCGACGCAAAGGGGAGTCTCAAGTTCAGGGATCCCTCGCCGTGGTTTACGGTTGGTTTGCCTTTCCAACTGCCAAAAGGAGGTGTCCGCTTTGAGACCAGCGAAAAGGAAGCGTCAAGAATCAGCTTTCGGCTTGTGAATGAAAAGGTGAACTGCAAGCTCTGGACCCAAAGTAGGTTAGTGTTGGGCTTTTATGAGAACCGCGGCTAATGAATAGATGGGGTGCACACCGAATGGGACATCCCTACAAACATGGCAGCATGGGCAATTACTTGAGGCTTGCACGTCTTAGACGATTTCCAAGGGCGTCTACGGCCGTGTACGTGGGGCCTTGCATTTGTGACGTCCAAAAGGGATGGTATGCACCAAAGGGTTGACTTACAGGAACGTATCTAAGTTGGCTTGGAAAGCAAGTGCCAGCAGCTTGCCCCAAGGAGAATCTTCATATGGAGATTTGGCACCAATGGCAAGACCCTTTTTGGGGTACCGACACCCTGAAACTGAATTGTAGGTCACAAGGGGTCCGGAGCCTGCTTTCGACAACCGCATGAGGTTGTTGCTTCTAGGCAACGTTCACCGTCCTTGTGAATGGGAAGTTGCTTATTTTCCTGCACCTGTGCAGCCGCCAGCGCTTGTTCCTGATAAAGTTGCTTCGGGCCAAAAGGCCCACAGTCGCTGGGTAACCTTGACATTTGGCTCAACTAGATTGGCTTAGGCAAGCAATTGTGGGGGTCAATACGGGGCTCAAAATGAGCAACTGGCTCGCTTTGCCGAGAAGCCTAGCCCTCATGGAAACTCCGCTTCCATGTCCGGAAGGCCGCGGAGTCCCAGGTTTGTGCTGAACATCCGCGACACCATGCCGGGAAAGTTTGCGAACCGCCACTCGATGAGCACTTGGCAAGGGGCATCCGAAAACCATTGGCCCGGAAAGCAAGCATGGCTTGTCCGAAATTATCGTATTGCCCAAGAAATTCTGAGTGCCCGGAGCATCACCTGGCGTCAGCTCACCACCACTGGGCACAGAGTAGCCGACTCTATTTGGACGCGATTCGTGATTTAAGTAGTTCAGAGAGCGGCGTTGGTGCAACAAAGAAAAAACAGATAAACAGAGAGACATTAGACGCTTTTGACCCTCCTGCAACCCTTTCTTAGTCGAATCCTCATTGGAGCTCTCCCTCCCATTCCGAAGTCCAAGGCAAACGATTGCGATGTAGCCATTATTTTCACTCCTGATGCCCTGGCTGGGCTGGGATGTTCTGAGCAAAACTCCGCAGGCCACAAATCTACAAATCAGAGTGACCGCTAGAAGGGAACAGGACAAACAATGCGCCACTCAAGCAATGGTTAGCAGTAGAGACAAGAACAACTAATGTTATGGTGACATGCTAAGCATGAATAGTAAGTGCTTCGAAATATTGCTGACAGTGGCTTCGGCTACCCTCATGGGAAATTTGGCATAGAGTTGCTTTCTTGCGGACCATTCGTCAGAGTGTAGACTACTCCCTTGAACAGCAAACCATCAACTCTGCCCAACCCGCCGGCCAAGACAAGTTCTGCATAGGCACACGTACACACACATACATATATATATATATAATACATGTACAAGCATGAGGGGCGGGGGTGAAACTGCTACAAACAGTTAATTTCCCTTGTTTGCTTCCGAAACGCCAACAAAACGGTTCTTTAAAGAATTGTTTCCGAATTGGCATATGGGTAAAAAGTACGCGGCCTTTTCCAACTGGTTCGTTTCATGACAACGGGCAAGGGGTCCAACTCGCTTTGACCCTACCCATCTCCTTGCTAAGGGCTGCAGTGGGTGCGGGCCTGAGCCGGCCTATGGGGTTTGAGCCAAAAGGTGGGAGGCTGTCAACGTGGGCCCTGGATGGCCCTGGTTTCTTGTAGCTTTCAATCACAGACACTCATTTGGACACTTCTGAAGAGGGTCAGAGTCACAGCTCTGGCCCTTTTGGTTGCAGAACTGTATATCTTCCAAGACTCGGCCCCAGCTGCTTCCCTGCATGAAAACACGTTCTACAGCTACGGGGTGAGATGAGCTCAACAGGCCATGGCCAAGATGGAGCTTTTGGCAGTGGTATTTTATGGAGCTGAACTGGCCACTTTGTCCTTGCATTGTTTTTGGCTTCTCAGCCGCGTGGGATGTCTGTTCTGCCGAGCTGAGGCAAAGAATGCAGAGAACACCTGTCGTCAGGCTGGAGCAAATGGACAAAGTGTGTAGCTATGTGTAGTTGTTTGTTGGTGTGCGAGCTTGCTGGCCGGCTGGCTTGCTTGGGTTGGGTTGGGTTGTGGTGGGGTGGGGAGGGGTGGGGTGGGATGGGATGGGTGGGTGGGTTTGTTGGTTGGTTGTTTCGTTGGTTGGTTGCGGAATTGTATGACCCCTGCCGGGCTGGCAGGCGCAAGACGAGCGGGTGCCGGGCACCGCGCTCCACTCGTGGCTGTGCAGCTTGGATCGGATGGACATGAGGCAACCCCGTGGTTTGGCGGTTTGGCGCTTTGGGTGTGGTCATCCACATTAAAGACATTACCATAATTCCTAATGAGGGAACCATAAGCCATAGAACGAGTTTTGACCAAGGCTCAGGTCACCCGTGGTTGGGTTGGTTTGGATTCGGGGGTAAATGGGAAGAAGCCCCGTACCCTCCAAACCAAATGCAACCCACCACTTAGTGGGAAGCTGAAACCGGTTTGATGCCGCCCAATGCTCTTCTTGATTGTAAACTTGCCGAAATGATGAGTTTCACTTTGTTTACAACATGAGCGTTCAGAACAAGTGAGCACCAGTGCGAACGAGGCATGATATATATATATATATATATATATATGTATGAATGAATGTGACAGATCTGCACTGACAAGCAAGGGGTTACCAAGGTTGTTCTCGTTGACAATGGGGCATTCTTTGGCTTGGGGTTTGGGGGGGATCCAGCGCCTCACCTCACGTGTCGAGCTTCTCCGATCCCAGGCAAGACGGTGTACCTCACGCTCTCGGCCGACGACATTTTTCATCTTCGGCCCGTCAGCGCGCAGGGCTGAGCTCTTCGCTTTTCCACGGGTTGGGTAGACACACCTTCGTTAGCTGTAGGGAACCCTGGCCACAAGAGCCGACTGGAACCCGCGAACGGTTTTTCCCGACGATGGGGCGGGTTCCGGGCCGGGTTCCGGGCCGGGTTCCGGTCAGGTGACGGAGAGGTTGCGAGGCATTCCTCGCCAATGCTGGTGGCTTTTTGTTGAGGACATGGTGAGGGACAAGCGCTTCTTGGCGGGCCCGCAAATCATGGACGACATGCTGGCGCCTTGAACTTGAAACTTGGGCATCAGCACTGTCGGATCAGAGGAGCCTCAAATGGGGCATGGCGGCATCTTAGTGCATCAAAGCAAAAAGGAAAGTAAGGGGAACCTGCTACTGTTTGAGAGGATCCCCAATTACATACCCAACTACAATTTCCGCGCCAGCCCGGTGATTGTAACTGGGCATGCGTCAGAACGAGCCATTCCCCATCCACACAGTTGGTTGCATGTTGGGGGGTCATGAGGGCAAGCCTTATAACTTCACAATTCTTTTCAATCATTGCTCTTTTTCAAAAGCCAGCCGTTGCCTCCGGTGTGGCGATTTTCTGGAAATGGGGAAGTTGCCTGCCGGTCAGGTGCTGCACCTGGAGACACTGAAGCAGGACATCGCTGGCCTGGAGGAGACCCTTTGCAGCAGGCGGCGACTGGCGGGCGCCAAGGTGTTTGGTGTCTCGTTGGGTTGATTTCGGAAGGTCGGGGGACATATCACGGTGTTGTTTGTTCGCTCTGGGAAACATTTTGCGAAATGCCGCTCGCCAAACGGCACACACACACACACACACTCACGCATGTTGGACTTGAATGTTGGCCCCTGTCGATGAATGGAGTTCAGTTGCCTGCAGGTTTGGCTTCTGCAAGGGCTTGCCGCCCTTCCCATCAGTGCTGCCTGGAAAAAATATCCGTGACAGCATGATGGAGACTCCGCTGCAGTTAGTACTCGCGGCAGGGAGCTTGAGCAGCCCTGACGTCCACAACAAACAGTCCAATCCTGACAAATGCCTCCCTGCGGGATAACGACCAAGAGTTCAGGCCATGATGTAAGTCAGGAGCGAAAGCCAACTTGAGCCATGGCAAACCATGGAGCCCAACAGACATGTTGTTCTGGTTCTTCCCGAAAAAAGAAAAAAGAAAACATTAAAACACACTCTCCGTTTGGGGCAGCGGGTAATTGCATGTGCTACATGGAATCCCGCAGAGTGAAAACCAATGACTTGGGACTGCCACCAAATGGCTCGCCATGGTCCGTGCCAGGTTGATGCCCTTGCCCAATATGTCCTTTGTGTCCACTTGAACCGATTTGGAGCAGAAGGGTTGGATGATGGTTTGTGACAAGTCAACTGAAGTGCCTCCGGCTCGTAGCGATTGCTTTTTCCGCTGCGGCACCCCAAACTGGCCGCAGACCAGGGCGGAGTCGAACCTGGGAACTCCTACAAGCTTCCGGACCACTTCGGTGAGGGGGGGGCGGGGTTTGTGTGTTGTGTGTCATTGATGTTTCTGACATGCCGAACAATGTCGGCGGATTTGAGCATCGTCCACTATGACCTCTTTTTCCCAACGAGGATGGCATAGGGACAGGGTTGCTCCGAGCAGTTCGTTAACGTTGATCGTCAAGCTTCTTGGGTAGACACGGAATAATGTTGGCAAAGTTTTCTCTGGGTTTGGCTTTGATGGGAATTATGATGCCATATTGCCAGGTCTTATGATCAATGCTCTTCTAGCCTCGTCCTTTCCTTGGCTTCCAATGTGCAACCAATTATGTTGCCCAAAGTGTGGTGATTGGGTCGGAGCGAGCAGCTCTAGTTTTGTCCAAGGCGATGTTCGGTTCCGAATCCGGGATAGCAAGTGGCAAAAAGAAGGTTGCTAAGTACCAGCGAAGTTTTTGTTTTTTAGACCCTTCTTGTTGCCACCCAGTCGATCTTGTGGGGAGAAGCCCCTGCATGGGAGCTCCAGCATGCGCGCGCTGAGGAGGGCGGATCGAAGGAGCACTGCTCCTTCAAGGAGGGGGGCAATGTGTTTTGCGAGACCTCTGGTTCGCCGAGGGCACCCTGGGTTTGGTTTGGTTTAGCGAGCAAAAGAACGCCAATTACATGAATGGGTGTCTCAAAACCAAAACCGGTTGGACCAGCCAAGAGACACTTCTGCTTCTGCGCCAACAACCATGCCACCATGTTAGCAACTGAGATGTATGGGCGAAACTCTTCATTCCCTCGAGAACCCAGAGGGCTTGGTTCCCAGCATTCCCTCAGCATGCGTTTCGCGTGTGGTAGGAGGCTACGCTGCAGTGGCGCAACTGCACGGCGCCCCCCTGGCTGCAGTGCCTCGGCTGGCACAAGAGGGAAGCCCAAGGGGGGGGTCCTTGAATTTTTTAAAAGGGGGGTTCCGTTCCTTGGGTTTCCGCTTTACTCTGGTTTTGTCCATCTGCTTTGTGTGCAACCCCTAAAATGGATGGTTGTCCTTTTGACTTCCTGTTAAACCAGCAGCCTGCTAAAAAGGTGCCTTCAAGAACGACACACCCAGGCGCGGGTGGGGAACCCCGTTGGATGGTTTAAGGCAAAGAAAGTTGAAGAGACAAGCAACAAGCCGGTCCTATTTGAGATCTGATGCCTGGAGTTCCAGGATTGGGGGATTTCGTTTGAAAAAGCTAGAGGGTAGCAGCAAATTGCAACCCTTAAAGGGGCAACTCAGTGTGATACACGGCCATGTGAGATGCATTCGAGCGTTTGCTGTATGTGTGTGAGTATGTTTGGTCAACTCCTTTGGTTTCTTTGTTTCTTGGCTTCTGTTTTTGCTGCCTTTGCATCTTGTTTCTCTTGGTTTGTTTGTTTGTTTGTTTGTTTTTGGGCGCCGATCTGGTCCCGGAAAACCTCAGCCGCGTTGCCAGGCTGTGGACGCCAGACCTCACGGCCCTGGTGGTGCGCCACTACGAGGAGGACTTCCGGTGGCTGGGATACGCCACGGATCCCGCGCACCTCTTGCCGGAAAAAGAAAAGATGCGGCGGCGAACGTTCGTTTTTGAGACGCAAGGGACGAGCATCACCCTCATCCCTCTCTTCGCAAAAAATAACGGTTTACCTTGCTGTCTGGTGCTTTTGGTGGAGAATCTTCGGTTTTGGGCGCCTGGCGGCGGGTGTTTTGTCCAGCAAGATGGTTGCTTTCCTTATGGCATCCCTTCTACCAGTCCCTACATTGAGACAAACCCACACCGAAGGAATCAGGCTGGAACTGTCCATTTCGGAGGGCCAGCCATTGCACACGGTGCAGAGTGCAAGAGCGCGGATCAAGCACTGTTTACAAGCAGTGCTGCGCGCTTGCAAGGCAAGCATCCATTGATTGCCAGGCTAAGCTATCCGTTGTTTGCTTTCGCCCTTTTGGGTTTACTTAGTTTTGCTTTGTAAACCAGCTACAAATCACCTTTTTGCAGGGGGGTCCAGGTCTGGCCAAATAATCACACTACTCTGTAAGGCTTTTGATTTTCCACACAGGGCCCTTTACGATGCTCCGGGAAATGGGAAGATTTGAGCGCCGGAGCTGCGAAAGAGCTGCAAAAGTGAGATTCGGGTGTATTGACAAGTTACGCTGTCGAGCTTCAAAGTAGCAGAAGCATGCTTCACACACGGCTTTTTGCTCCGAACATTCGTGACTTTCGAGCTGGAGCGCGAGAAGTTGCTTTGCGTACGATTGCTTTCTTGCTTAGTCTTTTTTGAGGATACCCCTGTGTGTTTGGATGGTTTTGAAGGGAAACCAAAAGGACGCCAACCATTGTGGGGGTTCCCTAAAAAAGCGACACGCACTTAGATGCGGCTGTGGTTGGAGATTCAACTGCGTGTAGGTTTCCGCTCGAGCCCGAGGCGGCTGGCTTTTAACAGCGCCGGCATGAACGAAGCGCGAGGCCCATCCCCTTTTTGCTGGCGGATTTGTTGTTACGAGAAAACACATATATGGGACCATCCTTTTTTCTGAGGGGGGGGTCATACCTGATTTGGAGACAAAGAACTGCTTGCATTGCAGGTGGCTGAGCCTCAAGTGGCCCTGAAGTACCTTCGTAACTTGCAGCGGCAGAACTTGAGGTGCGGTGGGGACAGATTTGCCTAGGTGTTTTTCTTGAATGGTCGTGCATGGCGTGTAGTTGCGAGGGCTGTTTTACGGAACCATGAAACCAATTTTGGAAGATTCCCGGTGAGAAAAAGGTGGACGATTTTGGGTTTACCTTTGTTTCCCCGCAGAATCTTCCATACGTTGCCTACTTACCAATGCAGGTCCTGGTGAAGCAAGTACCAGGGATGATGCTGATAGATCAGGCAACTTTCATGAATAAATATTCTGCAGTTGACCCAACACTTATGCCGGT